CAGAATTATTTTAATCGATTAAAACACGTTTCAATCGATTAAAATCACTTTGGAAGTCAGGATGATCGATCAGAATTGAATTATGACCGATCAGAGTTGGTTATGATCGATCAGAATTGAATTATGACCGATCAGACTTATTTCAATCGATTAAAACGTATTTCAATCGATTAAAATAACTTGGAAAATCTTTTCAATCGATTAAAACAAACTTTCAATCGATTAAAATGACTTGAAAATATATGTGCAGATTTTCAATCGATTAAAACGACTTTATATCAGCTAAAATAACTTGGAAAGTTTTATAAGAAGGTTTTTAAACAAATCAATCGATTAATACGCGATTCAATCGATTGTTTTATACTTTGAAAATGTTTTAACTGATAAAAACGTGGTTGTATCAACTAAAACATTTTCTGTTAAAGATCAAGAACGCATTAATGGATTGAAAGGACTTTTAACAGATTGTAACGGCTATTTCAACAGATTAAAACAAACTTTCAACAGATTAATTAATGCAGCAGATTTGAAAATACTCTTTTATAAACAGAATTGCTTGAAACTTTTAAACAGAGATTGGATATCAGTTTTTACACAATTCAAGCAATCAATACAAACAACTATTAGCATTTTTCAAGAAAGATACACAACTATTTTTGTGAACTTCTTTTGAAATCTTTCTTGAGGCACTTTGCAATTCTTTGAAGAAGAAACCGATCGTGGATTGGTGTAATCCGGTTTGAGCTTTCTTTGTTTCTTCTTTTAAATTTCTATTCATTCATTTGTACTGTTTTGTACCTGGAATTTGGGTACAAGTTTTCTGCAGCTGTTGTAGAAAGTTGCCAAGAACTGGAATTTGGTTCTTGGTGGAAAGGTTAAAGCAGGAGCTGGAATTTGGTTCCTGTGTGTGGTGCCTGGAATTTGGGCACTGGTTTCTCTGCGGCTGGAATTTGGTTGCAGAGGTTTCCAAGAGCTGGAATTTGGTTCTTGGTGGAGAGTTAGAATAGGTGTAAGAGTGTGAGTCTGTAAAATATCTATTCTAGTGGAACCCAGCTGGAATTTGGCTGGAGACTGGACGTAGCCCTGGTATTGGGTGAACCAGTATAAAATTACCGGTGAAATCTTTCCTAACCTTTCTCTCTTTAATTTCTGCTGCTGCACTTAAACTGTTTAATTGCTTTGTGATTTGTGAATTGATAAGTAATCTTAATTTTCGGATTAGATAATCTGTGTATTGCGAAAAACTTTCAAAAATCAATTCACCCCCCCTCTTGATTTAAAACTACTTTTCTAACAATGTCAACAACGACACAAAACCAGTGGTACCCAATGTTGATGGCTGCAAAGGGCAACAATTACATGAGTTTTGACAAATGACTTTACTGCCATTTTACATAACATCAACTGCATAAACAGTATATCAATCCCACAAATAAAGTCAAATGAATTGCATTCACTTTACTGCCATTCAATTGAACAATCACTATAACATGAAATAAATTTCATTTTTGACACACACCAATCCAGATGACCGATAATCAACATGAGTTTCTATGTGAAGGGTTGAGTTTAATAACTGGGGCGAAGTTCCTTCAGTGTTCCCCTGTAATGGCCAAGATAAGATATTAATGAACTTATGAAATCATCCAATACAAAATAACATGACAGTTGTGGATATAATACTTACAATATTTGTGGTGCACGTGTGCTCGCCTTTATTTTGTAACCTTCGCGTTGCACTTTTTTCATTTGTTGACACCTTTCGGAGTGAACGTGGTCTTCCTTTCCTTTTAACATGCAACGGGCTACGAATATCAATGTCAACGTTGTCAACACATAAGCTTTGTGAATCTCTAGGAGTATTACTTTCGCAGATATTGGTATCTATTTGAGTTTGAGAACGTTGAGATGTATGTGTTGGAGCAAATTTATTCATCATTTCATGCAACATGTCCGTCTGCTCAATTGACTCTGATGCAACTTCAGCAATCTCATAAAATCTTTTGCACAACTCATCGTATCGTTCAATCTGCGGTTGCTTCTCCTTTACATTGTAGGTGGTTTTCATATAAGTATGCTTCCTTCTCACATTTTTACTCCATCTACTTAAAATGTATTTGCAGGGAATCTTTTTAACCCTTTGTTGAGCAAGGACGACCAAACAATGTCGGCAAAGAATACCTTTGAATTCAAATAGCAAGCACGTGCAACTTACATTTTGGTCATCACGGTTGAAACTTACACTGTACAGGTGTTCTTTAGAATCTTCACCACAAATAGATTCCTCCATAACATCATAAAACCAAGCAGATCCAAGGCAAGACACATGCACAACACTGCAGTTTATTTTTCCTCTAAATTCTGCTTGAACCTCTGCGAATTTTGAATGTGTATACTCCGACTGAAATTGCCTCTCTATCGTAGACTGTGATCCACAATTAATAATTGTATGCATGGATGCAAAATCAGCTTCATATTCCTTCTCAGCCTTGTCTTGTAAGGCATTTTCATACTGCTTGACAAATTGTTGGAGGGATGTCATTGAGTTGATATATCCATCAAAAAATGCATTCATATTTTCACTTCGTTGTGTAGTTGACATCCCAGCCCAAAATTGGTTTTTCAAAAAGCATGGAACCCATCTCTGTTTCTCTTGGAAAAGGCTATTCAACCACTCATTGTCTTGTAAGCCAAAATCTGATATGAAATTAGCCCATTTGGATGTGAATTCAGATATGGTGGAAGACTCATAAACAACCTCCTTCATAGCATACTTCATATTTTTATATTCTGTATAACCTTTCAACTTTTCTGGAATTTTTTTCATTATATGCCATAGACACCACCTATGACGGGTTTCAGGAAAAACTATCTGAATGGCATTTTGCATTGCCTTGCACTGGTCAGTGATAATACCCGTAGGAGCCTTCAATGACATGCAACGTAACCATGATTCAAATAACCAAATAAAAGAAGTGGTGTCTTCACTTGATAACAACCCACACCCTAACAATATGGAGTGTCCATGATGATTTACACCCACAAATGGTGCGAACGACATGTCATATTTATTGGTCAAGTATGTTGTATCAAATGAAACAACATCACCAAAGTATTCACAAGCCACCCTACTTCTAGCGTCAGCCCAGAAAACATTTTTGATACGATTATCATCATCGAAGTTTATATCAAAATAGAAATCCTTGTTCAAGTCCCTCATTTGTGAAAAATAATTCATTAGAGTTTTCCCATCACCTTCTTTTCCTAGTGCACGTCTTTGTTTATTGACATAGTTGCGTACATCTCGTTCGACAAATTGGAGGTTTTCATAACCTCCTGCACTACTAACAACTGACCGAAAGCTTTTATTGATCCTCACACCTGCATCATCATTTATGTCTAGAGTCCTCTTCACATGCAAACTAATGTTCCTATTGCTTCGAAACATTCTGGATTTCTTTGGGCTAAGAGAATGTGAATGTTCATCATTTACCGACATAATATACCATAGTCCTTCCTTTAATACAACTGTTATCCGTGCAGGACATGAATTTGTTTTGGTGGGTTGGGTTCTAATTTCAGTAGGTGTAGCAGAAACATACTTACCAGCCCTTGCACACACCAACATGAAGTACCGCAATTGGTTATCGGGCCCCTTCTTTGAACTCCTTGTTTTGATGCCAAATCCTTTTTGTATGGCATATTGTCGATAAAATGATTTAACTGCATCTGCAGTTTCAAAGAACATTCCTACACATGGAGCAGAACCGTCGTATTCTGTTGTAGTCCTGACATCTGCGTCAGGAGATCCTTCATCATGGCCAACCAACACTTCTTCTTCATGTAAACTTGTGGCATCTGCATTACTGGGTATTTTATCATGTACACCTATCATTTCTTGGTCTACACCTTTGAGAGGACCATCACATTGTTGTACATCCGCATCACTACCTATGTCATCATACACGGCCAAAATGCCTTCATTGACAGCTACATCTCTGTTTTCATTTATATCTCCCATGCTGGATAAACGATGAAGGATACAATTCCTACCATTGCCAACAATATAATAGCAAGTTATATAAGTTCGGAACTTGGAGACGAAAATAGTCAATGTAAATGTTCAATCGTTTATCTACCCAAAAAACACAATTTTAGATCACAATGTAGACAAACTCTACACGCTAAACCCTAAAAATATATAATGCACTAACTCCCAATAAGCGCGGCCTACAACAACAATGGCGAATGGAGACTGGAATGCGAACTTGGCGACACACAAATATATTACAATGTAATATGCTTCAATGTGAGCAAGAGAATCAGAAAGATTGAAAATACAAAGAACGTACCTTAAGCTTAATAGAAGACGCAGAGAGCGAGAATGAGAGCGCAGAGAGCGAGAATGAGAGCGTAGAGAGCGGCAAAAAAACGCAGTCAGAAAGAGCGCGAGGTTGAAGAATGTAGGAGGGAAAGGTGAAAAAGAAAATGACTTTAGATAGCGGTTACTTCTGAACCGCTAACAAAAACATACTTTAGTGAGCGGTTCACTCACAAACCGCTATATTATATGTTTTTTTAAAAGCGGTTGTTATTAACCGCTATCTTAAGTGTCGTCGCTCAAGCGAAATTTACATCGTTCGAGCGATGCTACCTGCCAAAACACTGTGCATTTAATATTTTTTATTCGATAACACTGTGTATTTAATATTTTTTTATTCAGTTGTCGAATAGATGTTTAAAATCGGGTGTCAAAATATCAGTAATCAATCAAAAATAAATCTTTTGAAGTTCCATAGTAAATCAGGATCTTAATATTAATAACACGTAAGCCTAACATGTAATAGTTTTTACGTTAAATATTCCATATTTTGGTTTTTACGTTATATATAGAGAGAGATGAAGTAATTGAGTGTGTAATTTTCTTACTGCTTCTTGCATCCTCTGCTTTCAAAATTCATAATTCTCAGCGATTCTTGTTGGTTTCTCAAAAAATTCATATGCAGAAATTTGAAATGGGTAGTAACTTTCTGAAAATCTTGTTTGCAATGTTAGTGTGCTTTTTGCATAGCAAAGCATCCACTCTTGGATTCATCTCGCCATCACAGAGTACACATGTGAAATGCATTGACAGGGAGAGAGAAGCACTCCTCAACTTCAAACGTGGCCTCACGGATGTCTCTGGCATTCTGTCTAGTTGGAGGGATGATGGCAATAGAACTGATTGCTGCAAATGGAAAGGCATTCAGTGTAACAATGAAACAGGTCATGTGCAAATACTTGATCTTCGTGGATCAATAATGCATTATTTGATAGGTTCAATGAATCTTACTTCATTGATTGACTTGCAAAATATGGAATATTTGGATCTCAGTTCCAATAGTGTTCCTAGTGGTAGTCAAATCCCACAGGAGATGGGCTCCTTCAAAAATTTAAGATATCTTAATCTATCATATGCGTGTTTTGTTTGGGGAATCCCTTCTCAACTGGGAAATCTCTCAAAGTTGAAGTATCTTGATCTAAAAGGAACTGATCTTCATGGAGCAATCCCTTCTCAACTGGGAAATCTCTCAATGTTGGAGTATCTTGATCTTAAAGGAAATCTTCTCACTGGAGCAATCCCTTCTCAACTTGGGAACCTTACAAGATTGCGATATTTAGATCTAAGTGAAAATTTTCTCCAAGGAGAAATGCCTTATCAACTAGGAAATCTCACACACTTGAGGTATCTTGATTTTACTGAAAATTCATTTTCTGGAGCACTCCCTTTTCAGGTTGGGAATCTTCCTCTCTTGCACACTCTTAAATCTGATCTTAGTATTGGTGATGCAAAGTGGCTATTTTCCCTCTCTTCATTAGCAACTCTTAGCTTGACGTCGTTGCCTAATTTTTGCCCTTCTTGTCACCTGATCCATGAGCTTATTCCAAACTTAAGGGAGTTGAGGCTAGTTAATTGCAACCTTTCCGATAATGATATTTCATCTTTGTTTCGTTCTGATTCCAAATTTTCCACTTCCCTTACTATCCTTGATCTCTCTGGAAATGATTTGACTTCATCAACGTTTCAGTTATTGGTCAACTTCAGCTCCAAACTACAAGAACTTCATCTGACACGTTGCGGCCTTACTGACGAAAGCTTTCTTGTGTCATCTGCTTCCATTAAAAAGTCTCTGCGTTCTCTTGTCACTCTTGATCTCTCCTTTAATCGATTAAACTCACCGACTATATTTCATTGGATTTTCAACTACACTTCCAATCTTCATACCCTTTCACTTCAACATAACTGGTTAGAAGGTCCCATTCCAAATGGATTTGGGGAAGTAATTAACTCTCTTGAACATCTTGACCTCTCTTTTAACGAATTGCAAGGTGAGATTCCGGCTTCCCTTGGGAATATATACACATTGCAAGAACTAGACCTAAGGAGCAACAACTTGAGTGAGGAACTTTCTAGCTTCATTCAAAATTCTTCATGGTGCAACTTCTGAACTCTAGATTTATCTTCTAACCGGATTACCGGCATGCTACCTAATCTTTCAGTCTTTACATCTTTGAGGAATTTAGATCTTTCCAATAATCAGTTAATCGGAGAAATACCAAAAAGCATTGGGTTGCTTTATGAGTTGCAGTCTCTTCACCTAGAGGAGAATTACTTGGAGGGTGATATCAATGAATTGCATCTCACATAGTTAGGTCCTAGTTTTCCAAGTTGGTTGCAAACTCAAAATCAATTAACCTTTCTAGATCTTTCTGATGCTGGGATTAATGACTTTGTACCAGAATGGTTCTGGAACAAGTTACAGATTATAAGTGAGATGAATATTTCTTACAACGGTCTCCGAGGTACAATTCCGAATTTACCAATCAAGTTCGTTGAAGATTTAACAATTATTTTCATTCTAAAATCAAATAAACTTGAAGGTGAAATTCCGGCCTTTTTGTCACAAGTAGACACATTGGATCTTTCCTACAATAATATTTCGGATTTAAATGCATTCTTGTGCGGAAAAATAACAACTGTGCGCATTTTGGATTTGTCAAATAATCAAATTGTAGGACAACTGCCCGACTGTTGGGAACATCTAAATCCATTAGAATTTCTTGATTTGAGCAATAATAAATTGTCAGGGGAGATTCCACAGTCCATGGGTACTCTTGCTAATTTGGCAGCTTTGGTCTTACGGAACAATAATTTAATTGGACAACTGCCTTCCACATTGAAGAATTGTACTTCTTTGATTATATTTGACATGAGTCAAAATTTGTTGTCTGGTCCAATACCGTTGTGGATTGGAGAAAATCTTCGACGATTGAAAATCTTGACCTTGAGAGTAAATCGCTTCGTTGGAAGTGTTCCTGTCCAAATCTGTTATTTGGAACAAATTCATCTCTTGGATCTTTCCAGGAATCACTTATCAGGAGGAATTCCAACCTGTCTCAGGAATTATACCGCAATGATGAAAAGGAGCATAATTTCAGGACAAATTGTAAGGAGACGAGACATTTCAATTGAAGGCACATACTTTGGTATTTATGATCGCTTTAACGTGGTGCTGATGTGGAAAGGTCAGGATTATGTGTTTTGGAATCCTCAGGTTCTTCTAAGCAGCATTGATCTATCAAGTAATAATTTGACTGGTGCAATACCTAAAGAGATTGGATATTTACTCGGATTAGTTTCTTTGAATTTATCAAGAAACAAATTAGATGGAGAAATTCCTTCAGAGATTGGGAATTTAAATTTGTTAGAATTCCTGGACTTATCAAGAAATGATTTCTCTGGCAATATTCCTTATACTCTTTCCAACATTGATCGTCTTGGAGTGTTAGACCTATCAAACAATAATCTCAGCGGAAGAATTCCTGGGGGAAGACATTTGCAAACCTTTGATGCCTCTAGTTTTGAAGGAAATATTGATCTTTGCGGCGAGCAACTTAACAAAAGTTGTACAGGAGATGAGAGAACAGTACAACCTGAAGGAGTAGCAATGGATGGAGAAAATGGGAATTTAGGTTTCTATGGAGCACTATACATGATCTTGGGACTAGGATTCTTTACAGGCTTTTGGGGTTTACTAGGGCCAATTCTACTTTGTCGAGCGTGGAGATTTGCCTACGTCAAATTCTTGGACAGAGTGGTGGACTATATTCTTGTAATGGTTGAAGTGAACGTTGGCAAGTTTCATCGGTGGCTCAAAGCCTAGCAGGTACTTGTTAATGTTTTTTTCTCTGCTTTATTAGTTAAACATGGATAACTCTGTTTCATTTATCCTGGCACCAATCGTGTTGTTTAGGTTTTACACTTAAAGTTTTTAACTTTACTATTGCTACTTCCAAAAAGTACTTATATTGTTTTATTTGTATGTCTTCCACGCTCATCAATTTTTAACATTGAGTTTATCCAATTATTTTTTTTTTCTTTTAATTATGTATGCATTCTGAATTGTATCACAAAATTTGCAGATTAACTTGAAAACTTGTACGTACGATGAAAGATGCATGATTTCAGATTGAGGTTCACAATGAAATGCAAAAGTGTTTCAAAAATTTAAGTTTATCGAGGATTAGCTTCAAAATTTCTATATGGGATGAAGGTTTAGTGACATTCAGGAGGTAGGATAAATGCAGTATTGAAGTTTACAATGGAACACAAAATCACTGTTAAGAAACATACTGTCTTTTATTATACGCTCTATAGTTACTTTGTTTATTTTCTTGTTATGTCAACACTTTTTAATATATAGTACTTGTCTGTCTCGGAGGCTTTCAATATTGTAACAAAATGAGTCAGTCATTACGATAATAAACTAAACACAAACATGCTTCACTTCACTTAAACACGATGCCAAATTATGCAGCAAAAGTATTTACAATCTTGGGCATAGCTTTGTTATATGCTGCAGAAGACTACTAAATTGTAATGGGAGAGGGTGGAATGATTAAACATCAATTATAAATTTTTACCTTTACAAAATTAGAAATTGAACTTCGAAACAGAAATGTCTATGGGTACCTTGGATCCTTAGGAATATCATGCGTGGTGAATTTTTTTTTTTTTTATATTTGGTTTATAAATTTTTTAAAAGTTTATACATTTTGGGTTCTTAAGTAACATCTTATGTTTAGTTTCGTAAAACTACATAATTTAAAATTTGTATATCATGATAAGATTTATCATTGGTGTTAATTCTTCTAAACCCTATTAATTTACTCATGTGTAGGTTAAATGATTATCATATTTTGTTCCGCGTACGTGTTTATCATATGTTGTCACGTCATAATAATTGAATCTCTGTTTTCTTTTTCTTTATTTTTTATCTTCTTCCCAAGTTGAATCTCTTCTTCTTTTTTCTATCAAGACAGCGATTTTCAACCGTTCAAAACACTTATTAGTTCAACTAATTTTCATATATTCTTAATTTAATTTTAGAAAATTACTTTATAGATCATAAGTTTTTTTTCATACATTCACATAAATCATAATCATAATCGTGCAAGATACTAACCTTGATTCGTTAAAAATCTAATGAAAATATATTATTGGATTTTCTATTCTCTAATCTCCTTTTCCTAATTTATTTTTTTATCTTTTTTCACACTTTTTGATGATTAATAACGAGAAAACTTTATAATAGAAAAAAAACTTTTACTTCTTTTATATAGTCAATTTCTATAAGTTGATTATCATCAATTATAGTAGATAAAAAATATTTACTTCTTTTATATAGTCAACTTTTAACAAGAGCCATGACTACAACATCCCAATTTTTTTAATTAATTATTTGCTTAAGTTCCTACAAATTATTGTATAAATATTGTGCAAACTTTTTATGAGAAGAAATGATATATTAAAAAAAATGATGAAAAGAGAGAAATATAAGTCGAGAACCGTGACTTTGAATTAAATCGGTGGTAAATTTGAATTAAGTCGGTGAAATAAGGCAAGTGGAGAATAAAATTAAAGAAAATTCGATAAGGAGTATAAGTCGGTAAGTTAAGTGTATAAATAGGAGGAAATATGAAACTTACACTAACACACAATTTACGCAACTTGAAGAATAAATAGAGAGACATCAGAATTCTGAGAAGAAGAATTCCAAAAAGGAAGAAAGGGAGAGCATAAGAAATAGGAGAGTGATAAGATTTTGAAGGAATCAGGTATGAGTTAGATGTTTAATTTTATTCATACGCTTAAGATTGAAATGTCTGATTTTGATTACTGTTCATTATTTTGAAAGTTTGATAAAATTCTTGAAATTAAGGATGAATTATATAGTAAAATTGTTGTTTTTGACTTAAATTGAACATATTTCATGTTTAATTTCAATTTGAAACTAGTTTAGTTGCATGAAACTTGAAAATTGAAAATCTGGATGTTTGCCATGACTTCCTGGACGTGAGATTGAACAAAGGGATAAGGTGGAAAATTTTGAAAAAAATCAAGGGCAAAATAGTCATTTTAGGGACATGGAAGAAATTATAGAAATGTTCAAGGGTAAAATAGTCATTTTAAAGACATGGAAGGAATTATAGAAAATGTTCAAGGGTAACAGTCATTTTCAGGACATAGATGGAATAATAAGACATGGATGGAATAATAGGAAATGTTCAAGGGTAAAATAGTCATTTTTAGGACATGGATGGAATAATAGGAAATGTTTAAGGATAAAATAGTCATTTCAGGACATTGATGGAATAATAGGAAATATTCAAGGGTAAAATGGGCATTTTACATCCTAGGGACATAAATAGAATTTTGGAAAAAGGTTAAGGGTATAACCCAAGATAGAGCAAAAATTTATGCTCTTAGTCAACATGCAGATCCTTAAAGATGTTCTCGGTCAAAAATTGGAATCAGTGAACAAAATATATGGTTGACCGAGAAGAATGTTAATAGAAATAAAAACAATGCAAAAGAATGAAGTTAAACAGAATTCAAAAATCTGACCGAGAATGAAGAGTGACCACAGTCAGAGAACTACATCAGAAAAACAGACTCTCAGTCAAAACGAAATGTAAAAATAATTGCTCAGTCAAGAATCAAATGCAATGTGTAAAATATATGAATGACTAAGTGAAATATAATTATTTTTGAGTTTTGAGTTTTTAAAATAAAAAATGACCGTAATGAACAGTACTGATGGTCAGAAAATCAACAAAATGAATAGTTCTCGGTCAAAATGAAATTATGAAGAGATGCATCGGTCAAGATTTGAATGTAGTGTATAAAATGTATGATTGACCGAGGGAAATGCAATTATTTTTGTATTTTGAGTTTTTAAAACGTGAGATGACCGAGTGAGTGTATTTTGGTGCGCGTGGTTGAAAACCTGACCGAGTGATAGTAGTCAATTCGGTCAAATTGCTCCAAATAGTGGTAAATATGATTTGCAAGTACTGAAATGAGTACACCAATGTATATTTATGAGTTTTTCAATTTTTAAGGGGGATTTGCATTGCAAAAATTTAAAATGAGGACTTAACTACACTTAATCTATTCTAAACTAAATTATTCTATGACAGAACATGAAACAGTGCCATAAAACCTATCTAAACCTAAAACTAAGCTTCTACAAATATTAAAACAAGTAATCAAAGCAATAACTATAGTTGTCATAGTTAAGGCAAACAAATTCTTAGACAAGTATTAGAATTTCAAAATTATTAATCACTATTCACTATCCATTCCTTGATGTTTTCTACAAATAAGCTACTATTATTTTAAGTGTATTTATATCAAAAAGTTTGGTGTAGATTCTATTTTTAAATGAGAAAAAATAAAAAAGGTTGCAAAACACTATCTTATTACTAAATTTCAGTCTCTAATTTTTTTTATTTCAGGAGTAATACTAATACATGTGTTCTTATTTGTAGCACTAAAATTTGCAGTTTACGGGAATTAGCTTCAAAATTTCAACATGGTGGGATGAAAGTTCCATGGATTGGTGGATGTGTAGAATATGTAGTATTATTAATGCAATATCACTGTTTCAAGAAACATATTATGTAATATTCTTTTGCTTTCTTTTTATGCCAAGATTTGGTTGCAGCTTAATCTATATTTTAATGTGTATTGCATGTCCTTTTGCCAAATACTAACACATAACATTAATTCACATTTGCATTCAGCCTTACATAGTAGGTTCGTACACCTTCTATTTCATTCTTTTTTAAGTTTTTTTAAATCAAGTTAATATTATTATAATATAAAAAATAATGATTATAAGAATTCAAAAAAAAAAAAGAGTTTTCACTTTTAGTTAAAAAAAAATAGTGTAAAAATGAGAAAGAACCCTATTAACTTCTAATATAATCAATCAATTATCATTGATATGAGAAATATTAAAATTAATATTAAAGATTTTAAAATTATATATATATATATATATATATATATTAATAATTTATTACTTTTTATTTAAATTTTCAATTTGTGGAAGAAGGTTGAAAACTAATTTATCATTTAAGTTATACTTATCCGATTTATTTTAATTATTATTACTACTTTTTAATTTTCAAATTTTGACTAAACCTTTGTTGAGTTTGTTAACACTACAAGAAAAAAGCCTATTACCTACGGAATATTACCTACGGGTAAAAATCCGTAGGTAAATTTTACATTACCTACGGATTTTACCTACAAAAGTATATTCGTACATAAATTATCTATTACCTACGGAATTTACCTACGGATGGGATGATTATGCATTACCTACGGATGTAGGAGGTAGGTAATGTTTTTTTACTACTTTACCTACTCATTTACCTACGGATGTTAAATAAAAGAAAAAGAAAAAAAGAAAAAACCCTCGCTCACTAGTGGAAAATAGCTTTCTATGACGGCTTTTTATCACGGTCGTAGTCCACCCGTCATAGTATGTGGCGCGGTGACATGTATGTAATAAAATCATAAACTTTCTATGTCGGGTAAGTTTTAACCGACATAGTAAGTGGAAAGGTCACTTTACTTTCTACGTCGGTTAAGATTTACCCGACATAGAAAGTAAACTTTCTATGTCGGGTAACATTTAACCGACATAGAAAGTGAACTTTCTATGTCGGGTAAAATTTAACCGACATAGAAAGTGTCTTTGATGACGGGTGTTAGAGCAACCGACATAGTATCTTCTGTTTTAACCTTCTCCTTCCCTCCATTTCATTTCATCACTTCCCCCATAGCAGAGCTCCCCTGTACGTTTCTCCC